GTACTTGCTTCCTGTTAGTAGCCATCTCTCAGCTGAGTTTCGTTTCTTTTGTTTAAAACTCGGACTTTTTGTTGGGATGATGGCTATGCCCTGTGAAGCTGATTTATTTTCATAATTGGGGTTATAGTATGTTTTCATTTCTGTGCGTTCTTTGATTTTTTTTTTTTTAAATCTTTTCTGCTCTGTTAGGATTTTAATGTCAGAAGTTAGTCTCTGTTTTACCTGATGCCTAGTTGTTAAAAGTGACACGCGGTGCTACTTCAGATAAGTTCTCAGCTAGCCTGGTACGGGCATACTTACAATACGTACTTCTTCATGTTCTTTTAATGTATTCATCCTAACAACACTTGATTCAATAGGGAAATAGTATCTCAGTCACAGATGGAAAGACTGAGGCACAGAAATATTTATGGCCCAAGGTCACACCGGAAGTATGTGGTGAGGCAGGGAATGGAGTCTAGATTTCCTGAGACTCAGATTAGCATTTTAACCAGTGAAGCATCCTCTCTGTATTTGAAGCCAATAAATTGTCCTTGGAGTTAATACTCAGGATAAAAGCAAATACTTGTGTGGTTTTTTCAGTATCTTTGTGAGTAAAAAGCAAAACCTAAGTTGATTTCTGTAATTTGTATGTGAAAAGGATTAAAATACAAAAAATGTTGACATTCTCAAGACTGCGTGGGTAATCATGCGTGTGCAAAAACAGCCAGTTATTTTGTTGTCTTCTCTTCCAGGTCTTTTTACCTTACTGTGTTCCAAATCTTTGCAAGCTTTGGAATGCTGTTGTTGTCTGGGAATGCTTTGTTGTTAGTTAAGACCAAATGAATCTAATATTCTATGATGCTGAGTTGAAAGCGGTCTGCCATTCACTGGTACACTGGATTTTATGTCCTACATCTTAGTTTGTAATTTTTAAATACAGCACTGAATAAGTGACTTGTACTGACTATCTTAGAAGTTGAAGCATGCTATTACAAGGTGATCGCTTAGTTCAGTAGGTTCAGTAGTGTTGCAGCAAGTTTTTGAAAACTTGGCATTAACTGCAATTAAGCAGCACTTTGACAATGAAATGGGATAATTGCAACTTCTTGTTTTTGTATCTTCACAAGTGCATATTGCAGGGAGTTTTATTCCTAAAATACTAGGATAGCTTACATTTGTTTGTAAAATTGGTAGTTAATTTTACTGCAGTGTTTCACTTGCCAATAGTTTTGAAGGATTGAACGTTAAATAATTTTAAACAAAAACTCTCAGTATATTCGCCTTTGTAGAGAATAAAGATAACTTTGTCTATACACATTTGTTTCCTGCCACAACCCTTGATCACAAACTGCATCTTTCTTTGATGTTGCACTGAAACCAAATTTGCAACAAAGTTGAATTTAAGTGTTCTATATAAGATTTTTAACGTTTTTGGGGGGTTTTTTTTGGAGGCTAGTATTTGCATCATATTGACTGTGTGGGTTTGTCACGCCCATAGCAACAACCTTTCATCTTTTATATTTATCTTTTGAAAAGTTTTGTTAAGTCCTTAAAAAATAAGATTTCGTCTCTACTTTGCAGACAGTAAAAATTCCAGTGCTCTTTTCATAAGAGATAGTGCTTGGCCTTGGAAACACCCACCAGGAATGCAGCGCTTTTGAGCGGTACTGTGTATATTTGTAGACCCATTTGTACCCCCCCCCCCCCCTAGGTTTTGGATTCCCTTTGGGTGAATTATAAGTAAATTAAAATACACATTTATTTTAAATTTAGAAAAAGGAAAACAGCGCTGCTATTTGATGTCCTGCTAATTCTCCAACTTCGAAGGCTTCTTATCAAGCTACAGAAGTACACTTGCGACTTCCAAGAAAATATATAGCTGGGAAGACGTTCTTATGATATTCTGTATGAAAGTCAGAAGCTGGTATAAAATATTGTGAGAATGTTTTCCCTAGTTATGTTTTCTTAATTTCCTGTCATTGTTTCCTTTAATCACAGAAGAATTTTAAATTTATCTCTGAAACCAGATGAGAAAACCTCAATATTAGTGATACTGCAATAGTCAAGAGACTTGGAAGCAAAATCATTAATATTTATCACTTCTAACTTTGCTAGATCTGAAAATGATCAAGTCTTTTAGCTGAACTGCTGGTATTTAAAATCGTGATGGTCCTTGCTCCAATGACAAGGCCCATGAGTATCAGAGAAGTAACCTTTTCCTTTTTTCACCTGTTTTTTAGCAAGTTGTCATGAAATTTACCAAGGTCAAGATGGTTAGTTTTCAGCTGTTATCTTTGCTGCAAGCCAGACCTTAACTGAAAAGTTTTGGATTCCTGAGTGAGGAGCACACACTGAACTCTTTATTGCATTCTTGAAGAGCTTATTGTAAAAGCAGCGATAATTTATTCTTTCAGTGGTGCTAACACAATCCTTTCTGTGTATTGACCAGCATGGACAGACCACTGGCTCAGAGCCCTTAGTCTATTTCAATCTTAATGTAAATCTGCTATTGTTCCGAATATCTTGATTGATGTGGAAAATGCTCAAGATTCACTTTTCCAGTATTGAGGCCTGGGACTTTTATATTTTTTTTTTTGCCCATGTCACACTAAAAGTAGTTTGGGAGGACATGATTAGACTGTGACTTCAGAAACATCTGTGACTTCGCGACAGTATCACCTTTCTGGTGAAAATGACAATGGATCTGCTGTATTTGCAGGACAGTGTGAGAGCTTCTCCTGTCTGGCTCAGGGCAAAGTCAGCCAGCTCAGTCTAAGCTACCTCAGTGAACTATGGGGGCAGTGATTTCTTACAATCTTCCAGTAAAGCTGCAAAACGTACGTGTCAGTGCTTTACCTTTAGAAGAACAATTAGGAACTGACTGATATTTGCAAAGCCTTCACGTTTTGGCCCTCCGAACTGTGTGGCTCGCAATTCACAATCCTTAATGTGCAGACGGTTTAGGAAGTGGAATTTGGTACTGGATCCAATAGCTTGAGAAAGATGATGCTTTTTACTTCATTAACGTGGCTTGAATGGCTTTAGTGACTGCTGAAGCTGTTCGTTACTTTCTCCTGATGGAGCGTTTTCTTCATAGAACAATTCTTAAAGTGTTGTCCCATAACGGTAAACTGACTGTATTTTCTGGGTTGTACAATTTTTCTTTTTGATGTCCTCTGTCAGAGGAGAAATATGTTCATGGTAATTCAAATTTGGATACATTTACATATTTTTGGAAATGAATTTTTTCATCATTACTGTCAGATAAAGGAATAAAACTGAGTAAGTAAATATACTTAATTGTCACAATGGGATTTTTACTGGAACCGTCTTCATTGTATTCAAGTTACTTTTCAGTAATTGGATTGTAAGTTAAGCAGTGGAGTGTCTTTTCGTTGATACAACATTAAATGTGTATATGATGTGTTTACACAGTTGTCCAGTTTTGCATTCTGTACATACTGGGTGTATAGAAGGCTGTGTGAGGTCTTCCGATTCTTTCGTAATGGAATCTTCCTTGAGTTTTTCTTGCTGATTCTAGAGGAGTTAATCCCTGGCTGCTCACTGATGGCTTTTGCTGTTTTATTTAATATAAGTTGTTTCTCTGCTTTTTTTTTTTTCCTGAAGACTTTCTGCCTGCCAGTCACTAAAAAGTTTTTTTGTTGTTGTTGTTTTGTTTTGTGTTTTTTTTTTGGTAGAAAGAAGACTGAGGGACACAGTACAACGCATTGCCCACACTACCACAGGCACGGACCATATACCATTAATCAACAGGAGCAAATTCACATCAGGAGAGTGTCAACGGTAATTAGACATAATTTACTATTCTCCCAGATTTTATGAAGCTTTTTTTTTTTCCCTGAAGTTTCCAAGTAACATTTTAAGGTGAAAGAATATAGAAATATTTGACAGGCTTTTAAGCTAAGGATTCCTTTTTGGGAAGAAATTTTTGGATGACTTATTCTTAGATGGAAAAATGGGTGAGGGGAGAAAGAACTGATAGACAGCATTCTTGAGGTAAGAGAGCATTTAGTATTTCCACATAAACATCATTGATTTTATAATTAGTGAATGTACAGAATGTGTTGATTAGACTTTCACTCAATTTTCTCGTTTAGACAAAACTCTTATCAAAAGCTTAACTAGTAGCAGCCTTACCTTTATTTTGGCATTAATCTCACACTTTTCTTTCTTAGCTGGAAGTCTTGTCTTAGGGAGGTTTACATATTTGGCCTTTGGATAGGGAAAGTAAATCCTGTTTTTAGTAAAATGCATTTCCTGTGCAGAAAACAGTTCAAATCAGTGGTAACATCCAGGTAAGTGACCCTTTCTATGATGTTACTTGGATACATTGTTTTTAATTGGAGCTCTTAGAATTGAAACTCTCTAGCTGGTATGGAAAAAAAAAAAACTGGAAGAAATTTGCCATCAGTATGATGTCCATGTTTTTTTCTGGTGAGAGGAAGAATTCTCTGACCGACTGTCTTTTGTTTTGTGGGTTTTTTTTTTAATGAAGATTCCTGTGAATTGTCTTGTGACATGTAATACTGTTAGACTTTTATGAAACCACAGGGATTACTTTCATTGGAAAGAAAAAGTTTTAGAAGCTGTTGGCTAGAACAGCGTGTTTTAAATGGAAGGAGAATAAGGAGGTGTAGTATGAAGTGTTTGTGAATCAGAAAGCACCTTTTTCATGTAAAGGCACAAAGGGAGTATGTCCCGAAGACCATCCTTTTTCCAAAAGGAACTTTTTTTTGAAATACATAAAACCACCTCTTGCATTGGTGGACACCTAAATATTCAAATTCATATATTTGAATTCATGTATCACTATGTATTTGTGGATTAGGAGAGAACATTTGTTAATATTGCTCAAAAAGAATAGCCACCTATGCTGCATAACCAATACACTGTAATTAATTAAAACTGTCACATGACCAGTTTTTGATCATTTTGTGCGTTTAGAATGCCTGTAGTTTACAAAGCTGTATTCTCTGGATTGCTATGACTGCTGCATTGAGGAAAGAAATTGCACATCTGTGTCACAGAGGATGAAATTCGTTTTTCTTTTAACGTCTCAGTGTGCTGTCTAGTGAGTTGGCTAAGCAGGTTTTAGATTTTTTTTTTTTTTATGATGGGGGAATATCTTTTTGTTGAGGTTAGGTCACCTCTAATGAAGAATTAGTTTTTGGTGTGACCGTGTGCCAAAATTCAAATGTAATACTGGTGGTACGCTTATTCTGAACTTTGTAAAGGGCAGTTGACCCATTCGAGTTTTCCCAAACTCTTTATCGTTTGGTTCACAACTGTCTAAAGCTGTAGAAGTAATCAGGGAAAGACTTGAAGACTAATCAGTGTAGAACAGAATGAGACTGGACACTAGATGATTAAATGCAAAACAAGTCTTTGGGGAGAAAAGTTAGTGTACGTTGTGAGCAGTAGATCAATCAGCAGATGAATGCCTCACAAAACATAGAAAAGTTGTGGCAACCACATTGTATTCTCCCGGAGTTGAATAGGTTTTTCGCGGGAAAAATGTTTCATAGGTTAAAATCAGAGCTATAAATGAAGTATTTTTATCCGCTCTTTATTGCGCTTTAGTAAATAGTTTCAACATTGATATCTCTTTAATGGGGATACATTGCTTTTAGTTGTGCTAGGTGGAGTATTAAAATATTCCAGTCTAGTTGATTGATCTGTACCATTAATTTATAGCTTTGTAGTTTGTCACACTACAGTTACTTGAAGGATTAAAGGCTGTCTTTAATACTTGCATGGATGTAAGTAACTTCAATATTCATTGTTCTGCAGGTACTTAATAATATTAATATTTGTATGTTCTTCAGCTTTGGAAGGTGTTATATAATGTTTTTGGATGTATTTCTAACTGTAATTTTGCTCTGTGGTGCCTAACTTTCTTGAAATGCAAACTTCATAAAAAATAAGAAAATACACATAAATTGTCGTTCTTAGATTCTTCAAAACAGTGCTAGTTTCCACTGACGCTCTTATATTAAAGTGTGATTGCGTACCAATCTTGTAGCAATTTAAGCTGATTTACCGATAAATATGTAAAGCTCAGCTACAGAAGCAAATTACTTTAGTGTGTTACCATGCATCTTCTAAACCGTGATAAATGGTTATATGCATGTTCATGGCCTGTCACAAATGCTGGGTGAAGTGTGTTTGCTTAAACCTCATGTGTATGATCTCATACCTGCATTTTACCTTGCATTTTCCATGAACTAAAACATGCACATGGTACATTACCATGAGACTGCTCAGATGTGGTAATTTAAGTAATTTATTGGTGTGTTTTAGCCCTTGGTCTAAGTATAACCTGTTTTAACTAGACTAATTTGATCTGCGGTGCAGCTAAAGCGTTAAGCTTGGATCTCTCTTCATGTTGAGCAAGAAAAAGGCTTCAGTTTGTTTATCAAAATAAGTTTTACCTTGTTTATAGTTTGTATAATTTCTTTAACTTGTAAAAATGCTTTGTTTTTGAAGTCTTGTTGTGTAAAGCAGTTCTTACATTAAAAAAGCTTGTTTGTGTCAATAAATTAACAGTATACATCACATGTATTTCTAATTCGCAGAAACGGATTGAATCAGAATTAGTGGAAAACCAGCCTTTGCCTTTCCTTAGTGCCTATATAAACCTGAAAACAAACTCTTGATTGTATTAACGTTGTGAAGTCCTGTTTTTTACCTTCTTTTTTGGATTAGGCTACAACTGACTGCTTTGACCAAGCTCTTAGCAGAGAGCCTTTCCTGGAAATAGTGTTGTTGGTGTTGTCTTTGATAATCTGAATGATTACTTTCTTTTAGAACCAGGCTTCTGAAAAACTTTTGTTTTTTTAAATTTGAAATTTAAACATTTGGAAAGCAACTTTTGGATCTTTGAAGCAAAGAGCTTTTTCGCCTAGTATTAAAGAAGATTTGTAAATAAATGGGCAGAATTTCATTCCTTTGAGGGGGAAAAATTATTGTAAAAGGGATTCAGCTTACGTTCCACTTCAAGACCAAATTTGTCCTATAGGGAAGGATTCTGTTTAGTTATCAAAATATGTAACCTGAATTTCAGAAGTTTGGGCACATGCAGCTCTCTGTGGAAACTTGTAGTTCCCATCTTGTAAATCTTGGCACCAATTTAAACGCTTTCCTTCATCTGTTCAGATCGGTAGTTACTTAAAGGTGTAAACTCGAGCTACCTTTTTGGTGACTGATTAAGGTTTCTCAGTGGGTCATTATTACCAAGGTGTGGAACAGATTACTCTATTTTTAGGTGCAAAAGGATAATAATAGGGCCTGTGCTCCCAGTCTTGTCTTTCTAGAGTTGCATACACTTTATTTGCAAAGAAATATCCTGTTAGCTTTCCAGCTGTTCTTAACCACTGCTAAGGTAATGCCTTTCACTGCACTGAAAGTCCCGCGAGGAGGCTGTCACCGTTTTTGTTGAAAAGTAAATTTGATAAAAGTGAAAAAGGAAGATCCTACAAAGAGAACAATGTGTTCTACTTCTTGTGCCTCAGGTCTGAAGTTTTCTTAGATCATGCACTTACTTTTTAATGGAACGTGGTGTATGTTACTTCCATGACTTCTAAGTCCTTTAGATAGACAGTTGATATAACATTTCAGTAGTATGTTATTAGTGTGTGAACAGAACAGTTTCCCTCAAGGCCTGAACAACTAGAACACTGAAATTCAGGCAGCGCAGCTTCACATTTAAAAAAAAAAATCGTATTAGCAATTAGTATATTGTTCCATTGTGTTTATTGAAGGCTTTTTTTTTAATCCAAGTTTGAAGTTTTCATGCTTTGTGTAGCTTTAGGACATTAAATTGAACAAGTTAACTTATGCCAGAATATCTCCTCTTTCTAGCCAGTGGAAAGAAGTAGTTTGTTTTGCTTTTTTTTTTTTTTTTTCTTTTTTCTTATACAGCTGGAAAATATCTTAATCCCATTAGTTCTGTTATTTGAAAGAATGAAACACTTCAAGGGCCCAGTCCTTTGAGGTGTTCCATTCTCTTAGGTCCTTTTATAAAAGGGAGTAGCACCTTTCAGGAACTGCTTGGTTTCTTTATGGGCCTGTGCACTTAGGAAGCAAATGCTAACTACAGAAGTGCCTAGGATGTCATCTACTTTGCTGATGATAAGAGTAAAAACATGAAATACCTAAATATTTTTCTTTCATTGTTTTATCTAAAAGTAATGTATTTTTTACATTATAGAACCGTAAATACAAACTTTACAGGCCTCTTAAGTTGTTAAGTGGGAAGCAAAGGTATAGACATGGCTCTAATATGACTAATGAGCATATTGTCAACAGCTCAAATCAAATCAATTCTAATATACTTCCAGCATTGGTAGGTACTCTGTCCTCGGCTTGCAGTTCTTAATAGTGAAGCTTCTCTTGTGAAGAACAGTAAGGAGCCCTGCTTTCACTAGGGCAACGTATATTCTCCTATAGGATGAACGTTACCCTTCAGATTGTGCCTTTGCCTCCTCCCCCTCCCCCCGGCCTCCCCCCCATGGTTTAGATCTCTCCAAAAACTTAAGAGATGTAGCATCAAATTACAAAATGATTTTCTGAAGTACCATGGCCAATTGCTTGGATAGTTTTTATGGAGGAAGAGAGGGGGGGATTTTTTTATTACTTTCCTGACACGGTCACATCAGAAACCTGATCCAGGCTGGCAAGGGAGCGGGAAAGATGATACTATCACAGAGTTCCCATGTGCCTTAGCATGTTGTATTTGTTGTTACTCCATGTTTTTAGGATTTTTTTCATTGCCATATCGAGGC